CAATCACATGTCTGTGGTTCTTGTTAAAGAGATTGTAAAGAGGTTTTCTAAATTTTTTATGTGTATCAGGGACACTGATAGCATCAATTTACATCATTCTAATTTTCAATCAGACGTCTGTAGTTCTCGTTAAAGAGATTGTAAAGAGGTTTTCTAAATTTTTTATGTGTATCAGAGACACTGATAGCATCAATTTACATCATTCTAATTTTCAATCAGACGTCTGTGGTTCTTGTTAAAGAGATTGTAAAGAGGTTTTCTAAATTTTTTATGTGTATCAGGGACACTGATAGCATCAATTTACATCATTCTAATTTTCAATCAGACGTCCGTATTTCCTGCAATTCCTGTAAAACTTTGAAATGATTTGAATATTCAGATTAACCTTGGTTTCTGATTATAGCGTTTAACAATCGAACATGTTTTGGTAACCAGTTTACATGTGATAGTGGTAAATGTATTTCATCACGCTGGGTTTGCGACGGTACCGACGATTGTGGTGATAACTCAGATGAAGCCGACACCCTCAATTGTGGTACGTTTTTAAAAATTTCCCTCATTGTACACTGCATGGTGTCTGCCTGTCTTCATTAGCCCAATGAGTAAAACTCATTTTGTTTATTGACAACTAATATTGAAAGAAAAAGAGAAGGCTAATGCAGCTGTCCTGTCTAAATTTCCCTCATTGCACACTGCATGGTGTTGCCAGTCTTCATTAGCCCACATAGTGCAGAAAATTAGGACCGAAAACTCCATTCATTTCATTTTTACGTAAAAGTCCAACATGGAAAATGGAAGGGATGTCATTCCACACTGCATTAAGTTTGAGATTTGAATTCTCAAATTTAGCTGGTTGAGTAAATGTGAAGAAACCATATCTCATTAAAATTAGTCTAAAATAAACTTTCTGAAATATGCTGTAAAACTTTTAACTTCAGTTATGTTAATTTTAATTTTATTTTTTCATCTGAGAAGTGTTTATCTGACTAATTTTAACTTGAATTTGTCCAATAATGTTAATTTTGATTTTATGTTTTCATCTGAGAAGTGTTTATCTGACTAATTTTAACTTGAATTTGTCCAATAATGTTAATTTTGATTTTATATTTTCATCTGAGAAGTGTTTATCTGACTAATTTTAACTTGAATTTGTCCAATAATGTTAATTTTGATTTTATGTTTTCATCTGAGAAGTGTTTATCTGACTAATTTTAACTTGAATTTGTCCAATAATGTTAATTTTGATTTTATGTTTTCATCTGAGAAGTGTTTATCTGACTAAATTTTAACTTGAATTTGTCCAATAATGTTAATTTTGATTTTATGTTTTCATCTGAGAAGTGTTTATCTGACTAATTTTAACTTGAATTTGTCCAATAATGTTAATTTTGATTTTATGTTTTCATCTGAGAAGTGTTTATCTGACTAATTTTAACTTGAATTTGTCCAATAATGTTAATTTTGATTTTATATTTTCATCTGAGAAGTGTTTATCTGACTAAATTTTAACTTGAATTTGTCCAATAATGTTAATTTTGATTTTATGTTTTCATCTGAGAAGTGTTTATCTGACTAATTTTAACTTGAATTTGTCCAATAATGTTAATTTTGATTTTATATTTTCATCTGAGAAGTGTTTATCTGACTAAATTTTAACTTGAATTTGTCCAATAATGTTAATTTTGATTTTATATTTTCATCTGAGAAGTGTTTATCTGACTAATTTTAACTTGAATTTGTCCAATAATGTTAATTTTGATTTTATGTTTTCATCTGAGAAGTGTTTATCTGACTAATTTTAA